AGGTCACTTCTAGCTCCGTGCCAGAGAGCTGTGTCACTGATGGATTGGTTTGCAATGACTTTGCTTTCTTTTCAAACTCTTCTTCAGAAAAATGCTGGGCGAGATGAAAGCTTTGAAATGGAAAACCATTTATCTTTAAAGTCTTTTCTTCCTAAACAGGCCCCAGCAGTATTTCTTTCATTTCTCTCCTGATCCCAGGTGCTTGGTTCTTTTAAATGGTCTTCTGTCATCTTCTGGAAGCATCTTTTCCTTACATGTGATACGTTTATAACAACATCCATTTCTGATGCTTCCACAGGATGACCGTGGTGAGGGACTCATCAATTTCCTTCTTTTTTAGAGGTTGATTTATTATTATTTTTTTAATTATGTGTAAGTGTGTGAATCTGCATGTAAATATGTGCATGTAAGTGCAGGTGACCTCAGAGGCCAGAGACATCAGGTCTCCTGAAGCCTGAGTTACAGATGGTTGTGAGCAGCTTGACATGGGTGCTAGGAACCGAACTCAGGACCTCTGGAAGAGCAGCAAGTGCTCTCAACTGTGGAGCCATATCTCCAGTTCCAAGCTCCCTCTTTTTTTTTTTTAAGTCATTCTTTCTTTCTCGTTTTTATTTGTTTGTTTTTTCTTGAGACAGCTTCTCATGTAGGCCAGGGCGGAGAGTTTACTCTCTCTGGGGAGAAGACCTTGAACCTCTGACCATCCTGCCTCCATTTCCCAATACTGGAATTATGGGCACACCCTAGCATGCCTGGATTGATAATTCTTCTCTTTTATGTGGCTGATTGTGCCTCTCGCTTTCATAAGGGTTGTTATTTGAAAACATGTTCTTTGAGCCCCAACATATCCTGTGCATGTTCCAAAGCACAGAAGCTATTGAGAAGCCATCTGGCCATGTGTCACTCACTGTGGAGAACTTTTTAATAGACTCATTCCCTCACCCTATGGGGACATATCTGGTTCCTTCTATGAATATTCACCATCTGAAACTTGGGGATAAGGTCTTCAGTGAAAGTCGTCTCAGCCCAGGGAGTTTTTATTCTGCACACAAATCTTGTAGTTTCACAGTTTTCTGGTAAGAGTGACAAAATTGACAGGTATCAGAAGCCATAACCAGGAACAATCTAATTTTAGACAATTGCATGCAGTGACCATGCTACCAGGGGATGAGGGGATGTGAGGAATGAAAGGCATTGTTCTCTCCGGAGTGTGTTCTCTTTTTGACATCTCTTGGGGTCAAGAATTCATCCTTCTGTAGCGTGCTCCCCTCAGTCCTGTAACCACATCCAGTTGGAATCTGGGTTTCATTTAAGCTGGGATCTCACTGGCACTTGGAAAATGTTTATAGAATCCTCACAAAGTGACCTGCCAGGTAATGGCATGCTTTGGGGTAGAGGACAGTTTCTGAGGCCTCGTTGAGTTCTAAGTGAGTATGGAAAGTGATCCTCCTGTGTTAATAATCTTCCTAGCAACTGTGAGGGATTGGCTCATCTCAATTTTACAATGATGAGAATTCAACGCAGGGAGCTTTCTAACTTTCCCAGAGCCAATGTCCACGTGGTGGTTTGCATGAGAATGTCCCCAGAGGCTTAGGTGTTTGGCCATGTGGTCCCTAGTTGAAGGTGCTGCTTAGGTTTAGGAGGTGTGGCTTCCTGGAGGAAGTGTGTCATCAGAGGCGGGCTTTGAGAGTTTAAGGATGCATTCCATTTCCAGATGGATCTCTCTGCTTCCTGCTTATGGCTCAATATGTAAACTCTCAACATCTAGCTTCAGTCACTGTCATCAGGGACGCTTGTCCCTCTGGAACCATGAGCCCAAATAAACTCTTGGTTCTCCGAGTTGCCTTGGCCATGGTGCTTTGTCACAGCAATGGAAAAGTAAACAATACAATTCTTTTCAAGGCCAATGAGAAGGGTGAGCCAAGGGTTTGACTGCCCTCATCCACTGAGAACATAAACCTTCTCTTTCTCCTAAATTCCCCAAGTTATTTTTCTTCATTATGCAAATAGCACTAGTCACTGATATTTTAAGTATTTCATGTTATATTAATTGTATAAAATACTGGATTTATTAGGACAGTTTCATACATTTATATACTGTACTTTGTGAACATTTTCACACACCTCCAAACACCCTCTTCTGTCCCCCACATTTTAAGATGTTGGAAGCATGTCTTTCAAATCCATTATTAGGTCTCTAGGGTCAATGGAACCATAAGATGATGTCGGGGGTTCTAATTAATTGGCCAGCTGGACACCTGTAGAGTCAATGATGGGTGGGCTAACAGCTAGCAGACAGTCAAGGTCAGCAGCTGACAAAGCCTTAGTGAGAGATGGACAAAGAGGGCTTTCAGCAAGCCCTAACTGGGTGGGCAGCGTGTGAACCAAGTGTAATCATCTCCCTGACTGGACCAGGGAGGCATGCATACAGCATGCAGGCCCTGCATTGGCTTGGCCCACGATAGCCTAGAGAATAAGCCAATGTCAGCAGAAATGACCTCAGTCTTTGTCCAGGTCCTGCTGGAAGTCTCTCTCAAGACAAACAACATGAAACAACAAGCCTAGACAAAACCAGTTTGTTGTCTTTTTCCTGTCTTGGGAACCTCTCCGGCTCAGGAATTTCTCACTTTCCCTCAGGAAAGTTTGCTTCTTCTCTGCTTACTCCCACATACATCTGTGCCTCTTTGGTTGGAGATCATGAACTTGAGAGCCCCATTTCAAGGTGAGCTTCCACTGCCCTAAGTGCCTGGGTCAAGAACAGCTGGGCTGAGAAGGGTCCCGTCAATCTCAAAACCACATCTGTAGATCAGTAGCATATGCTTTCATGTAAGCATGGGCACACACACACACACACACACACACACACACACACACACGTGTGCACACACACATATACACACACACACATATTGAGGGAGAGGGAGGTGCCTTTGTTTATCTTAGCAATAATGACCTATTTGATTTTTGAAGCCATGTTGCTTTTAGAGGGTATAATTTACAACCAAATTCAAAGACTAGGCAAAATTTAAAAATTAACTTTAAAAAATTAGCTGGCTTGCTTATTTCCCTGATCTTAATAGCTTTTTTTTTGTGAATGAAATTATAGGTGGTGGTATAAAACAGCTTGTTCAGTCTTAGGGACTACAGAGATACGCTGACAAGGGTATGCTTTTTTTTTTTTTTTTAAAGAATTGACATTTTAAAAAAATATGTGCATTGGTGTTTTGTCTGAATGCATGTCTGTGTGAAGGTGTTGGGTCCCCCGAAACTGGAGTCACAGACAGTTGTGAGCTGCCCTGTGAGAGCTGGGAATTGAACCCTGGTCCTCTGGGAGAACAGTCAGTGCTCTTAACCACTGAGCCATCTCCCCAGCCCCAGCAAGGGTCCTCTTAAAAGGACACATGTTTTGGTTTTGAACATCATTCATTAGTCCTTGTGACACCCTGGCTTGAGAGTTCTCTCGGTGAAGAGCGTCATGCTTATGCCGTCTTACCATTCTTTTTCTTAGTGTGTTCCTTGTACATAGTACTGGGTTTCAAAAAGACGCTTTCACGGTAAGCATATAATATTCTTTGACCACGTTCCTGCACACCCTCCTACCCTCCTGTTTGTCCCCCCCCCTTCTCATTAGTACCTTTGCTCTAGACAATTTTCCTCTCCCTTCATGGCATGACACACGTGATTTAATGCAACATACAATATCTAGGGTCTACAGATAAAAGGAAGCTTGCACTATTTGTCTGAAACTGACTCAATTCACTTAATGTGACGATCTCCATTTTCCTACAAATAAGAGAACTTCACTCCTTTTGGCAGACTAACATCCCACACATATATGGACCACGTTTCTTCCCCTCTTCCTCTGTGTTAGGACATGTAGGCAGGTTCCATAGCCTAGCTCTTGTGGGCAATGCCTCAGTCAACACTGATGTGCAAGAGTCTCTGTGCTATGCTGACATAGAGTTCTTTGGATAAATACCTAGGAGTGGTCTGTCTGAACGGCAGGCTTTGAGAAAACACCTAACAAATGTTGGTGAGCATGTGGGAAAAGGGGACTCATACATCGCTGGTGGGAATGTTAGTCTAGCTGCTGTGAAAACTGGGGCAGAGGTTCTTCAGAAACTAAAAACAGAACTGCCATATGACCCAAGCAATCTTTACAGCTCCTTGCATTCTGTCATTTGTGCCTAAGTTCTTGACTCTCTGTCAGAAGTGGAGAACCAGATTTCAGGCGAGGGACTGACTCCCTTCTTCCTCCATGTCCCCTTAACCACCCCCTTTCTCTCCTGCCTTGATCTTGTAGAAGCAGGCCTTCCATTGGGCACCCAAGAAGAGGAATTTGGGAGTCAAATGTCACCTTCTGATGACTGGAAGAGCTAAGACTCCATATCCAAATAAAAGACTTCACATTCTGCTTTGCAGCTCACCAAAGCCCGGGCACACACAGATCAGTGGAGGTGACTGTTCGGAACAGCTTCCAGGAGGAGGCAGAGGATGGGCCAGGGAAGCGGGAAGTGTAATTCCAGGTAGAGAGGGTCACGGGAGGCCAGGAAGGTGCTGGCAACCCTAAGGAATAGTGGCTGATTCACCAGCTGTAGGGCTGGCCAGGCCTTGGGATGCAACAGAGCCAGGTCAGAGCCCAGCTGCGCCTGGCTGTGTTCCACCTGCTCCCTGGGTGGCCTCAGGCAAGTGACTCCCCTGAGAACTGGCTTCATTGGTAAGAAGATGAGTGGGGTGACACTAGCCACTTTACAGGGTTACTTAGAGGACTAAACACAAACACACACACACACACACACACACACACACACACACACACACACACACACGAGTTTTATAGGTATGAAGTTTTGTTTTCATAAGCCTAGACTGCAGTAGCCTAGGAATGTTAGTCTGCAAAATTATTTCACTAGGCAAGGGAGAGACAGAAAGTAATTGGGAGGGGGGAGTGAGGCTGGTGGCTGTGAAGTGGGCCGTGGCTAGTATCCTGGGACAGCTGAGATTGGCAGCCCCCTGGCCACCAAATAGAGTTTCTGCTCACAAGTGAGGCCAGTGGAAAATTTTAGTCTGCTCTTAGGAACTGTGTGCCCAGCCTGGGAAACTGAAGATGTTTCTTTAACAGAAAAATCGTGCTTTTGAAACTCAAATGACAGCGTGGCCCATGATCTGCTTTTCTCTCCCTCACACCAGTTTTCTTGGGATGTTATCGGGCCAGCATCAGAACAATGCCCACTTCTGTCTTGTGTTTAACCTGAATGACAAAAGACCAGTCAGCCGATGTAGGCCACGCAAGGAAGTCTCCCTTACCGGTTGGGCGCATGCAGAAACGCAATGGCTTTCTTTATTGTTCTGTTTTTTCTTTTCTTTCTCTTTCTGTTTCTTTCTCTTGTCCCACCTAAAAGCTCTTCTTATGGATCAGGTCTGGAGAGCCCCTGAAGGCTGCCTGAGAACTCGACTGCTGTGCCTGAGTCCCTCTGACATTCTCTGTTGCCAACTGCTCACTCATTATTCTAAAAAAACAGCAAACAAGCCCAAACTACTTCTCCAAGCAATTCCGAGACATACTTCACAAACAGAACAAAGCAAAGCCACCAGCAAAGCCCAGCTTTCCTGAGATCCTTTGTGAGAACCAGGATGTTTTTTTTATTTTTTGGTTTTTAATTCTTATTTTATGTGCATTGGTGTTTTGCATGCATGTCTGGGTGAGGGTGTCAGCTCTGAGCTGCTACGTGAGTGCTGGGAATTGGACCCAGGTCCTCTGGAAGAGCAGTCAGTGCTCTTAACTGCTGAGCCAGCCCTCCAGCCCCAAGAGAACCAGGATGATTTTTGATCACTACTAAGTTCTATTTAAAACATTTTTAAAGGATTTTTTCTTTTCAATTTTTAATTAGTTCTTTGTGTACAATGTATTTTGATCATATTCACCCCAATCTTTTCTCAGATCCAACTCCTCTTTCTATCAAGCCAACCTGTGTCCTCTTTTTTTTTTTTTTTTCCTTTTTTCTTTTAACCCATCAAGTCCATTTGTACCGCCCATATACTCTTCGATGTGTGGCCATCCTCTGGAGGTGGTAAGTGTCAACAGTATAATGAAAACGATCTCTTCTTCTTCCTCCTCCTCTTCCTCCTTCCTTTCCTCTTCTTTCTCTTCTCCTCTCCTCCCCTCCTCCCCTCCCCTCCTCTCCTTGCCTCTTCTCTTCTGGAGATTGTGGTAGGGCTGGGAGTCAAATCCAGAGCCTGATACCCTACCACTGAGTTGAACCCCTGACCCTTCTCCATTATTTTTTCTGTCTATGTTTATTTTCTTGAAGGAGGACTTACATCAAAATGAACTTCTTTCATTGAGTCTGGTGTTAGGGATGTGTCCCGTTTGAATTTCTGGGTCTGGCAGGCACAAGCGCTGATTTCTTTCTGCTCTCCAGAACTACATGTTTGTGCTGATGGGTGACACATCTTAGTGCTTCCCACTAAACAGTGGGCTTTCTGGGGACAGGATGACACTTTGCCCCCAGTTCCCTCCCTGCAGGCATCTTCACCCCACGGTGTCCCAGACTCTATTGGCAATGCAGGGGGCCGTGCTCACAGTTCTATCTGGAATGTGCTGTGCTCAGCAAAAACAGGAGCCGGCATTTGCAAGGCGGGGAGACCAGAGTGCACAGAGTGCTGCGGCCTCACGCTGTCCCACCCCCGCCCCCCTCAAGGCTCCTGGGGCTGCTCTGAAGAAAGCTGGTTGGTTTCCAGTCAGTGCAAGTGCCTGTGACTCCAAGGGCAGCCTCTGCGTTTTACTTACCTCCTTCTCCATCCTCCATCTTACCCCAGTGTTGTGACAGGTAAATGGCTACCCAGTGAGGAGTGGAAGGAAGGTAAAGGAGGGGTCTGGTCCTCTGCCTGCCAGGCTTGCTCTGAGCTTGTGTCTTCAGCACTCTAGGTGGGATCTGAATGCTCTCTGGCCCTTGTGGAAGTTGTCTCGGGCCTGGTGGGCTTCAGCCAAGGTGTCCTGTAACACAGGACCCTCAGACAGCCGTTAGAGAGACAGCCAGCACACCTATGCGTTTGAGACTCAGCCTTTCAGTGCACACGCCGAAGTGGAAGCTGCCAACCTCTGCACTTTACTGCGTGGAAATGTGGTGTGTTCCTTTTTCTCCCTTTTTGTGTTGTGGGGCTAAAAATGAAAAAAAAAACCAGATATGAAATCACTTTAAAAAATCCACTGGACTCTTTTGCTTTGTTCACTGCAGAAGGTCACAAAGGGTTCAAGAAAACAGGATAGGGATGCTCATGTGCTTCTCTTGTGAGCAGCAGGGCCAGCTCCCGCTCAAAGGAAGGCTTTATCTGGAAGCTGGTGACTCTAATAAAAATGAGATGGCAGGAGGCTGGGAGGAGGAGGAGGAGGGAGAAAGCGATTTAAACATTTTCATGAAACATTCAGAGCTGGTTGTAATTCCACCTGCTCTGCCCCTCTTCCTCCTCCTCATTTCAGAACAGGAGGGAGGGCATGCATGCACACACACCTGGCTAGGTGTGGGGCCACTTTTCCTGTGAGTGCAATGATCTGCCCTGAGGAACGCTTAAGCCGTTTTTGTTAGTGGACCTTCTCTTCTAAAAATATGATCCAAACACAGTTGTTCCAGAATCTAAAAGACAGACTTGGTCTCTGGAAAACCAGTTTGTGATTTAGTATTTCTGTAAGAGAAAGTTCAGCTCATGGTATTGTTCCCAAAGCCCAACATGTCTGTTGACTTAACAGCAAACACAGACAGATGCCCAAAGTCAATGTTTCTTCTATTTCTTTACTCCATAAGCTCCGTGATTCTCTGCCTTCAAGTGAGATACTGCATTTGCTGGCCTATTAAGTATACTGAGACTCTTCCAGAACACAGCAAGTAGACACCCACAGTCAACAGTGGAGGTGTAGTAGCGAGTCTAGTTTAGTTATCTCTGAATGTCTAAAGAGAGAATATTAGTATGTAGCAGTGCATGGAAAACACCCATGAGCCTCTGCATTGTCATTAGTTGTTACTTTATAGTGGGAAATGACAAAATAAAGGTAGCTGCCAGTTTTTGAACGTTTACTGTGTGTAGATGAAACCCTTGCTAATCACTACCTTAGTTAATCCAGACAACAATTCCCTGAAGTATGACTATTATTATTCCCATTTTACAGACAGACAAACTGAGGATTACAGAGGTTAATAACTTGCCCCAAGTCATAGTACCAAAGGCGTTATTTCAGTCAGATACTAACCGAGTGTGCACAGTCAGCCGCCATGTCAGAGGCTTCCAAGGAAGGTACTCACCTATTTGTTTTGTTTATGTATTACTTGATGAAATAAAACTACCATTCCCACTGCATATAAAAATTCCTAAAGATGCCTCCTCAGGATGTTGTGCAATTCCACTTAGCTGTTGATGGGCTCAGTCCTCGGGGATGGGGATGTAGCTCATTTGCTATAGTGCTTGCCTAGCATACATGTGAGGCCCTGGGTTTGATCCCCAGCACTGCATAAACCTAGCATGCTGATGCATGTCTATGATCCCAGGACTCCAGAGGTGGAGGCAGCCATCCCGTGTCATCTCCAACTCTATAATGAGTAAGACACCAACTTGGACCACATGAGACCTTGTCTAAAAAAAAAAAAAAAAAAAAAAAAAAAAGACATTCCTTTCTGATATGTATATTTTTTGACTTTGTAAATTTTCAAGATAATGTTTCTCATGGAAACTTTATGCTGGTGATGGGTACATGTCTGAAATTTCAGCTATCCAGAGGCTGAGGCAGGATTATTGAGTTCCACGTAGTGGGTAGCCATTCCAACTTCGACCTGGAAATACCATCCCCTTTGAGGCTTCAGTAACTGTCACGCCTACAAGGCGGAGCCGAGAGAGGACCCCTGAAGAACCTGAGATGCGGATGGGGGAGCTCTCTTGGTTCCTGGATCCTGGACGCTGGACGTAGACCAAGCAGAGTTCTCCAGAGAACACTGCTGGACTGCGCTACACCTTTCCCAGACCCTATAACCTATCCTTTCACTTGTGAGCTACCCCACAAAATAAACCTCGCTTTTAACTACTTGGAGTTGCCTTAATATTTAAACCAATAGTTCAAGGTCATCTGGGTCTAAACACAGAAGGAAAGATGAGCTTTGAATGGACACCATGTTCAGATGCTCAACAGTCTTCAGGGTTATGCTCCCAACAGAAGCCAAGACAACGGAAAAATCAAAAACAGCAACCGCCTTCAAAGGGAGGGCGGCCTTGTGAATCTATAACTCAAAGGAGAATTGTCCTTTGGAGTCTAAATGAATTTGGACTGCTCTGACTGGGCCCTTCCAACTCTACTGGCATTCCTACTGAAAACAAACAGCGGTGTACTGATTGCCACAGACACTCTCTGCAGGGCAGACAGCACACAGCGGTTCCCAGGCTGTTTTGCCAGCTCGCTCAGGTGTTCAGTCTGGGTGGGGAATTGCAACATGTATAGCATGCCAGGTGGCCCTGCAGAGCCTGGCTGCGGCTCAGGTACCGCTGGGGACAACAGGAACATTAGGGCATGGAATGGCTCTGCCAGTCTCTGCAGAAGCCCCTCACTCATCGCATAGCGTCGTCTTTGCCTAGATGTGTTCCTGCACATCTCCTAATTTGTTTTAGCTCTATTTTTACAGTGAGAATAGTTAAGAGGGCCTAGGATTGAGCATGACTGAACCTGCTGGGGACAGCAGCTCCACGGAGCCAGACAAACCTTAAGCAGAGTCAGCCTGGCTGCAGCCACCAGACCGGCTCCCCGTTCAGTGGGAGATTGAAAAGGTATACACATAGATTTTTCTTTTCAATTTTTTTTGTAAGTCAGGATTTTTCTCAGTAGCCCAGGCTAGCTAGGAACTTACTCTGTAGCTCAGGCTGACCTGAAACTCTCAGCAGTTCTCTTGCTTCTCCTGATATTGGGATTATAGACATGCGACCCTGTCCCTGGCCCCCAGGTGTGTTTAAAAGCCTCAACTTTGCAATGGACTTACAAGCGTCTCTCTCAGTCTGAGGACCACAAATTCACCTCAGCCTTTAAACTCAGTTACAAATCTCTCAAGGGTGTTTCTGAAGCTTCAGGGAACTTTGGAATAACACGCCCTAAAGGGGAGATTTTTTTTTTCTTCATTCATTTAACTGGTAAAGTTTCAAGCATTCAACTTCATTCATTTATATAATTCTATCTAATTAATGGAAACAGGGGATGTGGTAGGACAGGAGGAATAACTTTTAATGTCCTGTAATGAAGTAGTTAGACAGCTATGGTATGACAACAATTGATAGAATACTTAGTTCAGAGCACGGGGGCGTGGGTTGGATTCCTAGCGTTCATATCAGTGGCCTACAACTACCTATAGCTCCAGCCTCAGGGCATATGACACTCTCTTCTGGCTTCTGTGGGTACCTGCACATATGTGGTACTATACATATACACTCAAGCACACCTATAAAAATATAAAAATAAGACTGCATGGGGCTTGAGAGATGGCTCCATGTTTAAAAAATGCTTATTGCTTTTGCAGAGGACTGGGGCTCAGTTCCCAGCACCCACAACTCACAACTCATAGAGCTCCAGGGCCAGGATACCTGGTCACTCATATAGGCTCACACACATACTCATTAATTAAAAAAAATAATAAATATAAAAAAAAACCCAAAAAGGCCAGGCCTGATGGTACTTGCCTTTAATCTCAGTACTCAGGAGGCAAAGACAGGCAGGTCTCTGTGAGTTCAAGGCCAAAGGCCAGCCTGGTCTTTTTACACATTGATACCAGGTCTGCCAGGGCTACATAATGAAACCCTGTCTCAAAACAAACAAGCAAAACAACAAACAAAAAACACAAATATTTCTAAAACATAGCCAGTAGAGAAGATTCTAAATGTTCTTAGCACAAGGGAATGATGCGTGTCTGAGGAGATGGAGTTGCTGAATGCCCTGATCTGGTCATTAATTCTACAGTGCATACAGGTATTGAAATGTCACACTGTATCCCATAGTTTGCATTTATTGTGTGTCAATGAAAAAATTGCAGATAAAGTGAAAAAAGAATTTTTTTTCTCAGAGTGTGATAGGTAAACTGAACCAAGGAGTGGTCATTATTGGTGGCCGTAAGTGGAGGATGGTGGTCCAGTTTCAAATGTACTTTTGAATCATGTTCAGTCGGTTTTATTTGAGGATCTTCGTTTGTGAATTGTATAAAGCACTGGCCAGGTGTTCCTGCTGCTCCGATGTTCTCTAGGATGCCCATGGGACCAGGCCTGCAGGTGTTTGAGAGGTGGGACTTGCTATTAGGACCTTGTGTGTCAGCAGAAGAGGGAGGGAGGCAGCACGTGCTCAGCCCTCGGAACTTGGGTTAGATGAATTCTCCTCCTCAATGAATTCTACCTTAGCGATGCATGGGATCCAGAGGGAGGTGGTGGGTGGAGGGACGGACTCTTCTGCCTTGGTGGACAGTGGGGTCCAAGCCCAACTGGATGCTCAGAAGGACACGGTGTTCCCCTGTGGCCTCTGCCCTGATCAGACCATTTAGCACTGTCTAGCTAGAGTTCATGTCAGCTTCAAAACAGACTGGACAAGTAACAGGGGACACCTGGCGATGACTGCGCTGAGGTCTCCACCAGGACTTCCTCCCGAGCTCACCAGAAGGGCCTCTAGCTGGGCAATCACTACACCTGGAACACAAACTTACCTTAGAGAGAGCAGAGTCGGCTTTACTGTGAGCCTTCCGTGCAAGGGCTTGCTCTTAAGGTATCCACGAATTGCCTACCACATGTGTCTTCCTCAGTGGCAGACCTCTGTGAAATGTCCGCATAGGCTCATGTGTTTGAGCACTTGCTTTAGATGCTGACTCCGTTTGGGAATTTTATGGAACCCGGAGAGGCGGGGCCTAGCTGGCCGACGACTTAAGATCACTGTGGGTAAGGCCTTGAGGGTTACAGTGTACCAGTCAGCTTCGTGGTCTGTGCTAAGTAACGCGCTGCCGATACATGATTCCATCACGGGCAGAGAGCCACCTGCAGCCATGCGTTCCCCGCCATGATGGACTAAAAAAAATCCCTTGAAATCCTGAGCAGAAATAATCTCTTTTTCCCTTAAGTTGCACCGGCCAGAGTATTTGGTCACAGCAAGGAGGACAGAAATAAGACCTTGATGTTAGCCTGGACCATTGCTACCTTGAGTGAGAATTGGCTTTTCAGCGTGGTATGGTATTGCATGCCTGTAATTGCAGTGCTTGGGAGGCTGAGGCAGGACGATAAAGAGTTTGAGGATGCCCTGTATTGTATAGTAAGACACTGTCTTAAAGGAAAAGCTGCAGATTTTTTTTTCCGGTCTTCTTCAGTTCTGGTTCGGTGCCTAGATTAGGTGAAAAGATGAAAGTGAGTGTGTTGGGCAAGGCTTCCTGGAAGGCTGATTCAGCCAGGAGCTATGCTATTTTGCTTTGAAAGTATGTAGCTGCTCGGCATACACATGTAACAGCTGCCACACAGCAGCCAAAGCAAGTCTTGAGGTGACCTCGAGACTCCCAGCCCTTTGCCAGGATGGGAAGGCAGGAAAACAGACGAAAGCCCAGGTCACTGATACCTTTAGAGGCACCAAGAGAACTATGGGTCACCTTTCTTTTGATTCCCTCTAAGTGGAAAAAAAGTGAAACCGCGTAGTTGAGGGTCTTGGGTTACAGTCAGTTGACATTAACTTGAATGGGGTCAGACTCTTGCTCCCATTTTTAAAATCATCTCTTAAATTTTAGCAGTCCGTTTCTCACCATCGCCTTCATCCCCACTCAGGAGCTCTGCGGCCTTGTCTTTAACCCGTTCTTCCTGCCCAGCAGTCCCCCAGACTCTCCTCCTCCACCCCAAGTCCTGCAAGTGTCCATTTGGTAGCTCTCCCTGAGCATGACCAGTCCTTTCTTCTTCCCGCTGTCCAACCTGCTCATTCCCTGCTAAATTTAGCCCCAGATTGCCAGGCCGCCTCTCACGTCTCATCCTACTCACAACAAGGACTGGAGAAGAAAGGAATTGACACACCCTTGTAGTTAGTGCTCCGCTCTAGGCTTCCAGTGACCCTTCCGCCCTCTCCCTAGACTTCCCCTGACTCCTTGGCCCAGCCCAGCTGCTCTCCTCAGGGCAGCCAGCCTGCCCCACCCAGCCCACCCAGCCTGGGATGGCTATGGAGTTGCCCTGGTCTCCTTGGGTGGAGACAGCTCTCTTTGATCCAGCTTTGCTCTCTGGCTTTGGCCTCCTCATACTGCAACCTCACAGGGCTCCTCACTCACCTCCCAGGGGTCACCTCAGCCTCCCAGGGGTCACCTTAGCTCTTTTTTCCCACAGCTTTGCTTCTGGGAAGACCGTTTTGCACTTTCTCCCCCTTCTAACTCATTCCTTGACCCCTCGCTATCTTGACTGCTACCCCATAACCCCAGGGCCGCTGTCAGAGTCATCCTGGCTGGCACCTGGGGATACTTTCGCTGCCTTTAATCGTGCCCCCCTTCTGGTGTGTGACGTGGACTGATAGTGTCTCTCTTGGCGCTGTGCCTCTTCTTACAATACTATTTCTCCCTTCCCTCATGTAGCTCCCGCTGCAACACCCAGATACCACCTTCTCTGCCCATGGTAGTTCTAAATAAGAATGGCCCCCATAGGCTTGTATATCTGAATTGTTGCTCGCCAGGTGGTGGAACTGTTCGGGAAGGATTAGGAGGTGTGGCCTTGTTGGAGGAGGGGCATCATCCTCCAGCAGGGTGGGCTTTGGGGTTTCAAAGGCTCATACCATCCCCGGTTAGCTCTCCCTGCCTCACATTTGTGTGTAGGTACATGAGCTCTCAGCTACTGCTCCAGCACCATGCCTGCCTGCCTGCTGCCATGCTCCTCACCATGATGGTCATGGATTCTAGCCCTCTGGAACTGTGAGCCACACGTTAAACACTTTATTTTTAGAAGTTGCCTTGGCCATGGTTCTTTGTCACAGCTATTGAAAAGTATCTGAGACACTGTCCAAGAGACCTTGCCTCTCTTTGGCCAGGTGAGAGGGACTAGAGAGTGATGTCAACACGCCACCCATCTCTTCATCCCCATCCCCCACTGTTTCTCTCTGTCCTTCTCAATCTGTAACAGTCCATGGTCACCTTGGGCCCACACTCCCACTGCTGGGAGTGATGCTCCTACCCAGGCCATAGGTAACTTCTTTATATTGTTAAAAAAAAGGTTACAAGACAACATATGAGTTCATTCCACTAAGTGTGGTAAATAATAGAAAAGTATGTGAGAAGTCAAGTCCCTCTCCCACCACGCCCCACAGAGGTACCATTGCCCCGATGGCAGTTGACTGAGTCTGCTCCCTGGTCTTCTGCACATTGGCATTGTTTATGTGCACATCTACTACTTTATACAATATCAGGTTCATGTCATGTGTCATTCTGGAATGACCCATAGAATGTCTTATCATATTTCTTGTTTCCACAGTGTTATCAGCTTGAATACATCTGGGATTAACTAAATACCCAAGCAACTAGGCACACCCATGAAGAATTTTCTTGGTTCGATTATTTGAGAGAGAAGACCCACTCTAAATCCAGATCTTTTGAAGTCAGAAGGCACACTCTAAATCCAGGGCACATCTTCTCACAGCAGCCTATATAAAGGACGTGGAAGAAGGAAGCCTTTGCTTTTTTGCCTGCTTGCCCTCACTCTCACTGGCAAGTTCTTCTATCTGATGCTGAGGCGTTCCTTCACTGGTGTTAGCGCCTACTTCTTCAGACTTCCAGCGTATACTAAAGACCAGCAGAGACATCCAGCGCTGTGGACTAAATAGCTATTGGAGTCTTCCTGTTGGGACACAGCTGTTGGTGACTTAGCTGGGCCTCAGTCATATACGTTCATTCTATCAGTTGTGTTCATCGAGAGAACCCTGACTAATACAATAAGTATCCAGGTGTTTAATGTTTTTGTAGTTTTCAAATCATCCCATAGAAATAATTTCCTTTTTCTGTTTAAAATTTTTAGTGTGTGTGTGTGTGTGTGTGTGTGTGTGTGTGTGTGTGTGTGTGTGTGTGTGATGCAGGGATGGGGGAGTGTTACCACAGCATGCATACAGAGGTCAGAGGGCAGCTTTATGGAGTCAGTTCTCTCTATTCACCTTGGTGTGGGTTTTGGGAATCCAACTCAGGTGGACAGGCTTGTGCAGCAAGCACCTTTACCCAGTGATCCATGTCACTGGCTCCTTCTCTATATTTTCTTTTTATAAAAGATTTATTTTTACTATTTTTATTTGTGTGCATTTGTGTGGTCCGTATGTGAGTATGTGCACATGACTTTTGTGTGGGACTCTGCTGGGGCCAGAGGTTTCGGATTCCCCTGAAATTGGAGCCACAGGCAGTTGTGAGCTGCCTGATTTGGGCAGTGGGAACTGAACTCGGTCATCTGCAGAAGTATGTGCTGTCAACTGCTGAGCCACTTCTCCACCCCATACCCCATATTTTCCCTTTTCTTTCCTTAAGGTTTATTTTACTTCAAGTGTATGTGTGTTTTGCCTCCATGTACATTATGTGCACCATGTGCACACCTGGACTGAACCCCGGTCCTCTGCAAGAGCAATGGGGACTCTTAACCACTGAGCCAACTCTTCACTGTCCCCATCCTGTATTTTCTTAAAGAAATCCAAGAACACAGCGCTGGTGCGTGCCTCCTGCCACCATGCCACCAACTACACCAAGTTCTTCCAGTTAACCTCTTGATTTTCTTTTTGTACAGCCATGAAACACTCTATCGATAAGAAACAAAACACACCCACTTCAGTATTTTTAGAACTCTGAAAACTGTGAGTGGTACTCCAGTCTACCCCAGTCACCTGTTTTTAAGGAAAACGAATCTTCATCAAATAATGCTGAGTATGCTTTAAAAACAGGCCAACCAGGAACAGATTTAGAAGCTTAGTAGTTGTTTTTGTTTGTTTGTTTGTTTTTTGAGACAGGATCTCATGTAGCCCAGGCTGGCTATGTAGCTAAGGATGACTATGTAGTAAAGGATAGCTTTGAACTTCTGACTGTCCTGCATCCACCTTTCAGGTGCTGGCGTCTCAGGTATGTGCTATGATGTCCAGCTATTGACTTACTAATGCATTTTCTCCATAATATTAAGACAAGTCATGCGTGCATTTTCACAGCCATAAACTTTTATTTCTAGGTCAAGACCATCTTTTGTTACATTATTTATTTTGTGTTTCTGGGTGTGGGTATGTGCATGCCACCGCACACATGTGGAGGTTTGAGGACAACTTCTGAGAGCTGTCCTTCCACCATGTGGGTCTTGGGGATGGATCAGGCAGTCAGGATTATACACACTGACTCACTTCGATGACCCACAGGTCCATCTTTTGATATATTTGTCCTGGTTATTTTTTGTTCGGTTTTTTTGTTTTGTTTTGTTTTGTTTTGTCAACCTGACACAGCTAGAGTCATCTGAGAAGAGGGACTCTTAATTGAGGAAATGCCTTCACAAGACCGCCACATAGGTAAGTCTGTGATGGATGCGGAAGGGCCCACCATTGTGGGTGCTACTATCTCTGGGCAGGTGTCACTGGCTCCATAAGAAAGCAAACTGAGCAAGTCAGGAGGAGCAAACCAGTAAGCAGCATTTGTCAATAGTCTCTTCTTCAGTTCCTGCCTCCAGGTTCCTGCTTTGAGTTCCTGTCCTGGTTTCCCTCAGTGGTGGATTGTGACCCCAGAGGTGTAAGCTGAAATAAACCCTCTCCTCCCCAGGTTGCTTTTGGTCACGGTGTTTATCACAGCACTAGGCACCTATGACAATGTTCTTATAGTCAGTCTGGGGACACTCTCATCCTTCAGGAAATGGCCTGCTTGGGTGCTTGCTATTGTGAACAGCTGCCTTTGTGTGCCTTGTGAAAGCATCCATGCTCTCTCCATTCTCTTTATGCACTTCAAAACAGTGTATGTATGAAGGGTTTCTGTTCTTTGAAATCCAGAAAGCCCTCATGCGCTATGGGAAACAGCATCTGCTTCCTAAGAACACTAAAAACAGAACGGTGCTTGAGTGCTTAGCCAAGAGAGTCAGGAGTGGGACCAGGAGAGGATCCCGGCATACCCCAAGTAAACACACACAGCAACACCATTCACAACAGCCTCGAGGTGGGTGTGCCAAGTGTCTGCATTGGGTGGCTGGGTAACTCAGTGGGTTGTGCATACCCAAAAGCAGTATTCTTCCTTTGAAAGGGCTTTAAAGGTTAGGAAAACCCAGGCACATACTACAGCATATAAAAACTCGGAGGACATTGCGCTAAGTGAGATATGCTAGTCACAAAAAGACAGATATCATCAGTGTTCTTCTATATGGGTGGGGATCCTAAAGCCAGCAAATTTAGAGAGATGGAAGGGGGTCTCCAGAGGATGAGGGAGGAGAAGGAAGGAGTCAGTGTTGAATGAGCACAATGTTTCAGTTTTGTGAGTGAAAAGGTTCTAAAGAACCATGGTGGGATGGTTGTGCTCAGTGTGAATACACTTCTGCCACTGTGTAGACAAATTTATAAACAGTCTTATTAAATAGAAACCATAGAGCCAGACATAGGGGTTAAAGCCTGAGAGATCAGAGGACTAGGAACAGCCACAGCTAACCTTACCTCACAACTCTTACCAACTCTGCAGCTTCCAAATGTGACTTACTTCCTGTCTACCCACACCTGTATGCCTTGCTGTTCTGCCATCTGATTTGATCTCTCTGCCCAGCTCCATCACTTCCTCTTCCTGCCCAGCTCTGTCACTTCCTGTCTGTCTGTGCAGACCTCCAGACCTACATGGTTAACTAGTGTTGGAATTTAAGGCGTGTGCTACCACACCTGACTCTGTTTCCAGTGTGGCCTTGAACTCACAGAGATCCAGACAGATCCCTGCCTGCCAAGTGTGTGGTGGTATTGTGTTCCCCAAAATATTGTGCACCCTAATAAACTTATCTGGGGTCAGAGAACAGAACAGCCACTAGATATAGAGGCCAGAAAATAGTAGCACACATGCCTTTAATCCTAGCATTCCAGAGGCAGAGATCCACCTGGATCTCTGAGTTCAAGGCCACACTGGAAACAGCCAGGCATGGTGACGCACACGCCTTTAATCCCAGGAAGTGAGCTTTTAATACCAGGGAGTGATGGCAGAAAGCAGAAAGATATATAAGGCGTGAAGACCAGAAAGTAGAAGCATTTGGCTGGTTAAGCTTTTAGGCTTTTGAGCAGCACATTTCAGCTGAGATTCATTCTGGATGAGGACTGAGAGGCCTCCAGTCTGAGGAAACAGGATCACCTGAGGAACTGGCAAGGTGAGGTGGCTGTGGTTTGTTCTGCTTCTCTGATCTTCCAGCCCAATAACTGGCCTCAGGTTTGATTTTATTAATTGTGTAGATTCATGCTACACAAGTGATAGGATTAAAGGCTTTTCCTCTGATCTCCAGGCAAGCTTTATTTATTAAAGCACAAATAAAATATCACCACATTTCAGCACACCACTGAACTATTCTGTTAGCAACATCAAAGACAGGAGGTTTATGTTGTGTATTTTTTATCAAATGTTTGCACACACACACACACACACACACACACTCAAAATTTTTGGCTGTGACCATTGGGAGGGGGCACCCTTGGGTTTGGGGTTAGTGCTTGGAGAGCTGATTATTGTCTTTCCTCTGGCTGCTAATTTAATTTCAGAACTCCAGAATGTTGGGGCTAGATGATCTAAAGGGTCATCCCCTGTTTCAGACCCACATGTCCCCAGGGACCCCATGGCCACAAGCAGCAAAGAACACCTCCAAGACAGAAGGAAAACGCAAGTTCCTATCTGTCCAATGCTGCTGCTCCTTGGAGGTCACATACCACAGCACCAGGGCCCCAGCAAGCCTCCAGTGACATCTCCTGAGAATTAAAATCTTAGTAACTAATTAAGAAAAAGAAGTTTAACACTGAGATGGCTAACATACACAGAGGCATGCACTGTAAGGAGGGGAGTGTCAGAGAATGAGAGAGAGCAGGGGCCTCTGATGCCCATGTAGTCCATGAGGGCTTCAGGGACAGGCAAGCCTTTCTCTGTAGCAGATTTGAGGTCACAGTCTAGGGTCTGTCCTCACTCAGGACGTCTCCTGATGAGGTGCCGGGATCTATAGTACAGCGTTGAAGTCTATACTTAGAATCTTGGCTCCCAGCTCGTACTCTGCTGGTTTTCACTATGCGTTTTGTTGAGCATGGTGTAGTTATCTTAACTTCTCGGCCCTCCACTCTAGTTCCTAACTTCACAAGGTGGTTTTGAATATGATCTTGAGTAGCCATTCCACAGGTGCCAACAATTATATTATCACCACAACTACTGTTATTTTGATAGTACTTTTCAGTGCTACAGCCTAGGGCTTTGTACATGCCACACAGACGCCACTGAGCCACGTCCCCAGCCCACTATATTTTAAATGCATCATTTAGAGCTGTGGTTAAGCGAAAAACGTGCAGAGGCTATTGATTTTAAATGAGCTCTCACAAGGCTCCAGACTAAACTAGAACAGAGTCACTTAAGCTAAATATCAAGGATGCAGGTAGATTCTAAAACAGACCAGCTTTTCCTGAACATGTGAGCTTCCGGTCTGTCAGAGTCAACCTAAGAAGGAAGTCCCCTCAGCTTAAGCCCAGATAGAGCAGATAGTGATCTCTCCCCCCTCCCCCTCTCCCCTTCTCCCCCTCTCCTCTCTCCTGCTTACTGGTTTTGTTTCTTTGTTCCTATGGTACAAAATGCACTGTTACACCATTGTCAGGTGTGGGGTCTCATTTCCTTGCACAGATTGAAGCTTGCACAAACCCCACAAACAGTAAAGTATCACTCTTGTTGATGATTCCACCATTGCATGAAGGGGTATAGATTACTTTGTATGCATTCATTCCCTTGCTTAGCCATCCCAAC